TTCCTTCAGCCTTTGCTCATATGGCTTGCGTTCCATCCCTTTGATCATCTTTGTCGCTCGCCTCTGGATCCCTTCCAGTTTCTCTACATCCTTTTTATACATTGGTGACCAAAATTGGACACAGTACTCCAGCTGAGGCCTAACCAGCACCGAGTAAAGCGGTACAATCACCTCCCGTGATTTGTCTGCTGTGCCTTTGTTAATGCAACTTCAAATTGCATTTGCTTTTTCTGCAACAGCATCACATTGCTAACTCATATTGAGGCTGTGATCCACCACAACTCCCAGATCCTTCTCAGAGGTCCTGCTGCCAAGCCAGTTATCCTCCATTCTGAATTTGTGCATTTGATTTTTCTTCTCTAAGTGTAGCACCTTACATTTGTCTTTGTTGAATTTCATTTTGTTGTCTATAGCCCAGTTCTCCAATTTATCAGGATCCCTTTGAATTTTTAGCATTACCCTCCAAAGTGTTGGCAACTCTCCTGCAAATCCAATCGGTATGCTCTGTATTCCTTCATCCAGGTAATTAATAAAGATGTTAAACAACACTGAACCCAGTACAGATCCCCGTGGAACCCCACTTGAGACCTACCTCCAATCTGACAGTCCATTAATAGTTACTCTTTGTTTGCGGTTGTTTAACCGATTATGTATCCACTTAATGGCAGTTCCACCGAGCCTGCATTTCTCCAGCTACTTAACAGAATGTCATGTGGTACTATAGTAAAAGCCTTGTTAAAGTCCAGGTATATTATGTCCACTGCATTCCCCCTAATCACTAAACCAGTTATCTTGTCAAAGAAGGAAATCAAGCTGGCTTGGCATGATTTGTACTTGGTAAATCCATGCTGGCTGCTAGTGATCACCCCTTCATCCTCCGAGTATTCGCAAATTGAATGTTTTAGACATTGCTCTAGTAGCTTCCCAGGTATCCAGGTCAAGCTGACCGGTCTATAGTCCCCCAGCTTCTCCTTTCCCCCCCCTTTTTAAAGATGGGCCCTACGTTAGCCCTGCTCCAGGCTTCCAGGACCTCTCCTGTCATCCATGAGTTTGCAAATAATATTGCCAATGGCTCTGAGATTTTAATTCCTTCTGCACCCTGGGGTGAATAGCACCAAGCACCGCTGATTTGAATTCATTCAGATTAGTCAGAAGATCTCTGATGTGTTCTTTACTTATCTTGATCTGCATCCCTCCCCCTGTATTGTCTACGTTAACTTCACTAGTCGTCTATCTGGTCACGTTATTTTTTGTGTGAAGACTGAAACAAAGTAGGCGTTAAACAGCTCCGGCTTCCGATCATCCTCTGTTACCAGCTCACCTTCTCCACTGAGCAGAGGACGCATACCATCCCTGATCTTTTTTGTGTGTGTCTAACCTATTTGTAGAACCCCTTCTTGTTGTCTCTAACATTTCTTGCCAGCTGTAACTCATTCTTTGCCTTGGCTTTCCTGACTCTGTCCCTACATGCTCGCACTATTCCCATTATACTTCCTTGGGGACATGCCCCTCCGTTCCTTTTGGTTTTCAGATAGCTAAAAAGTTCTTTGTGCAGCCATGCTGGTCTTCTGTGGCTCTTCTCTTTCCTCTGTGTCGGAACAGCTTAATGTTGAGCCTCCTGTATTACATCTTTTAGCAACTGCCAGCCCTCTGACTCTTTTTTTCCCCCCTAATTGGTCTTTCCATAGGATCCTGCTTGCTATTTCTCTGAGTTGGTTGAAATCTGCCTTTTTGAAATCCAGTGTCCTTGGTTTGTTGTTCTCGTGTCCTCCTTTCCTTAGGATCTTGAATTCTATCACATCATGTTCACTTCCTCCCAACTTCCCAACCATCTTCCCCTTCGCAACCAATTCATCTCTGTTGGTCAAAACCAGATCAAAATGGATGACCCCCAAGTTGTTTCCTAAACTTTTTGAATCAGAAAGTTGTTCCCTACACATGCTAAGAACTTGCAGGACATATTATGTTTTGCATATTATGTAAGAGTCTGCCAACAGGTAATCAGGGAAGTTAAAATCCCCCATTAACACAAGCTCATGTGTATTAGCTAAGCTTGTTATCTGCTTGTAGAACGCCTGACAAAACACAGACATAAAGACAGTATGTAATTAACTTTGTACTCTATCTGGGGTTAAGGTATTAAGACGGTAACTTCAAGATTATGAATTGCCCTTAAAATTGTTAAATGATCCAGTGCTGAAAGGCCAAAGGGCACGGCAGTGTGATTTTTTAAATTGAATTCAAAGTCATTATTTTAGAGAGTGTTAGCATGTTGGTGAGGGGGGGGAGTAGGAATGACAGGATATCAGATTTGCTCACCTTTCTCTCATTCTAGTTTGGAAAACATACCAACCATTGAGCCCACATTCTGAGTTAGAACACCAACCTCCTTGGTTTTATTATGTAGAGCCTGCGAAGTCCCTGATTGCAGCAAGAGCTATTTCAGCAGTAAACAGCAGCTGTACAAGGAATATCTTTTGCCAGGGGACAATCGGCCAAAGCAGCTATGGGAATTTTTTAAATTTATGTTCTAATAACTAGACCACAATGACAGTCTTGACATTAGAAAAGCTCATTTCATCTTATAATTATCTCCTACCCGCCCTGAGCGCCTCTCTTTCCTCAAAGCAAATAAAACCACCAATATTGCCTTCTCAAAAGAATAAACAGAGCAACAAAAGACCCAGCTGAAACGTGATGTCTATCTGAATTTAGCTGCATGCTCTGCTACGACAAACACTACATTTCTTTTTTTTCCCCGCTCTACTAAATCCCAGTTTCTCATGTTTAAATCTCTTCTATCTAGAATGGCAAGTTCAATGCTTTAACTGCATCAATTCTAGTTAACAAGGTGGAATGCAGACTGATGTTACGAAGGTTGCATAGAAGCCCCCTTTCTCCTGTTGTTCAGACAGCTGCAGGGTTTCTGAAAACCTTATGCGCTGAGACCACGAATTTTCATACCAACCCTGTTTTGTCTCATTGTTCCCTTGTACTTCACCACCTCCAATCAACCCATGCACTGATTTCAACAGAACGATGCCAAATTACGCCCATGGAAAATCTGTCCATACAGCTTTCCTTTTTCTGCGAAGCACCTAGCACACTTCTGGGCGCTTGGTAATAATAATAGATTTAATAAAGGCTTGATTATTCCACATACCCCTTCAAAACTTCCGATCGACACTCTTATTTTAATCAATATCCTCAAATTCCAAATGCTTGACATTTACAAGCCTCCAAAATGACAGACCCCTACTTCTAGTGATCACGCATAGGCCCATTCATGAATTGTGAGCAAGCCCCCGGGGACTTTTTGTAAGCAAGTATGGTTTATAACCTAAAGTGTAAATAAAACACACTAAGTGAAGTATATGCAGGTATGTCACCACACAGGTGCACATCTACAAGCAGAGGAGGGTGGTAAATTCACTTCCCGTGCCTGTTACTTGCTCAATTCAACACTGAAATCAGAATTAGCCATGTGCCTCTGATATGAGCAAGGAATGAATGTGGCCTCACGTCCTAGTTGCTGTGATCTAACAAAACAGACCATGGTCAACACTATAAAATGTACTGCAGGGAACCATCCCATGTTTGCAGGGAGATGGATCACCTAATAGGCCTTTTCCATTTCTAAGTCTGAAAAAGAAGAGAAAATTGGGCCAGTCTGTGGTATTCATCATGTGCTAACTATTCTGGTGTCTTAATGCTGTGGAGATCAAATTGGGGTAAAGCTACCCATCTCCCTTCCAATCAGACAAGTACCTCTTATAGCAAGGCATCAGGATGAACTGCTTATGTTAATAATATAATAGGACAAGGAAGAATGGCATTAGCCTTTTTTCTCCTCCCTAGCATCACGTTATCTAAATAGATTCTCCCCGCCCCCCTTCTGTGAAATGGACGGTTCCTAAAGGTTCGGGATTCACCAGCACACTTTCCACTGGGTTAAAGGTGTGGGCTGAGACGGCCGATGCTGCTTAAGAGATGTGGACACCCAGTTCCCTTAGACAGCTTGGAAAATCTCAGTGGCAGAGTTAATGTGACCTTTCAGTCACTGGCTCAAATCTAGCCCTGGAGCTGACCGCACAGGGTGACCACGCGCCACTGCCAGTTCTTTTCGGTTGTCTGTGAAATGAGTTCAGTGGTCTCAGTTGAGTTCCCAAGGAGCAGATACATCTCAAGGATCCGTATCACAAAAGCCACTGCCACAACGGTTACCTTTGCTGACAGTCTGAGGGAGGCAAAGATCTAAATGGCCCAAGGGGACTGAATATTCTTCTCACCCGTAAGGCTGGTGGTCCCTAGAGCCATGGCAGTGAGGTGCAGTGGTAGACAGCTTGGGGAAACTTATTCTACTGCCTAGACTGTATCTACTGTGTACGCAGAGGACTCCAACCTCTCGGGTCTTTCACAAGCACTAATTCCCTTTTTAAATAGTCTCTTTTTTAAATCTACTGATAAGCTGGGGAGGAGGAGAATATATAAATGTCACCACTTCCCAGACGACAACACCTCGAGAGCCAGTCAGTGAACCGCTCTGACCACGACAAGGCCCCAAATAGCTTTTCAATTCCAAGATCAGTGCCCTGATGGGAAGAGCCACTGCGGCCAGCCACCAGGCCACCCACTCCCTGGGGAGAGGAGGAATGATCGGGTATGGGTCACCTTAACCTGACACTTGTGGGCTGTGAATATAAAGGATTGCTGCTGTGTGGTCAGGAGGAGAGACTGGCTAAAGCAGTGCTTCTCAAACTTTTGTACTGGTGACCCCTTTCACGTAGCAAGCCTCTGAGTGCAACCCCCCATTATAAATTAAAAACACTTTTTAATATATTTAACCCCATTATAAATGCTGGAGGCAAAGCGCGGTTTAGGGTGGAGGCTGACAGCTCGCAACCCCTCATGTAATAGCCTCGCAACTCCCCGAGGGGTCCCGACCCCCAGTTTGAGAACCCCTGGGCTAAAGGTCCCGTGCATCCGTCTTCACCTCTTACCTGATTCTTCCCCCTTCGTCGATAATTCCTCCTCACCAGGTTCTTGTAGTTCTCACTCTTCTTGGTCAGGTAATAATAGAGCACGCAGTCTGCCACCGTCTGTAACGACACAGGAAGTTACGGAGCACGGCACTTTTGACACTAGCATTCTTTCAGAGCGCAGGATTCCAGCACTGTGCGTTTGGGCACACGTGACACACTGCATGTGTCCAGACCCCGATACAGCAGGGTTTCCTTCGATTACCGGAGGTATGCAGGGCAAAAAAACATTCCCACACCCACCCAGAGCAAGGCTTTCCCTTGAGAGCTCAGGATGGGCCCAGCGATTTAGGAGAAATGCTCAGCCATGGAACAGAGCAAGCCCCCATGCATGCCCAGGGCACTCAACACCCAGCAAACTTTAGAGTGATGAGCTGGGACCCCTTCTTATCAGTGCCCCCCATCCAGAATAGAGCGCCGGCAGTGCTGGATCCCACAACTGCTGGGTTGAACACATTTCACTGTCAATCTGACATACTGAGTCCTCTGCATTCAGAAGCTGCTGCCTGGATAACAATTACAATGCTGAGAGAGAGGCAGGCCCCAGCCTAGAGCAACGACGTATGGACCAGTTGCATTAGAAAACTGGAGAAAGGGGAGTTTGGAACACGACGGTGCTCTAGTATAGAAGGCAGCCGCACAGTGAGCAGCTCTGCATGCACAGAGGCGGCTCTGTCGACAGGATAAGTAGGCTGCACAGTACCTGCCGACACGGCTGTTGTAGTCAGGCAGGGAGAATAAAGCTGTTTGCAAAACAGAGTCTGGTTGTTCTAAAGCGTTAATTGGATCCCCTTCCATAGCCCCGATTACACTTACACACACACACACACACACACACACACACACACTCACCTGTTCCATGGGCTAAAATCACTACAAACGATTTCAAATGTTTGAAAAACAAATTTTAAAATGTATTAGTTGATTATGTTGAGCATCTCTCTCCGACTGCCATCACAACAGGCGAGTGGACATGTTGGGTCCCATAATTACAGCCTGTGTTGTAAAAGAGTATAACTAAAATGCAGAGACATGTTATAGCTTGGAAGAGAGAGCAGACTGCTGGTACCAGCCAAGGCATAACAAATCTGACTTAATGACGTGGAAGAACTGGGAAGATCTTGGTGTTTCATAGGCCATGTGCCTGCTAGGCTTTCTAGAAGAGGGTCTGTGTGTCTATTGCCCTGTTTGCCAGTTGGGATGAAAAGTGGAGCTTTCTACTCCAGAAACTGAGTGGGTTAATCCAGGCTACGATGATATTCCCCTGAGACAGAAGCTGGTTTGCAACTTGGACAACCAGGACAATAAGTGGCTGGCCATGTCCTAGCAGATCCCATCCTTTTAGAGGAAGGGCAGTCTCTTTGCTAGCAGACTAGTCTGGGACTCAGGAGACCTGGACTCTATTCCCACCTCTGCCACTGACCTGCTGTGTTATCTTGGGCAAGTCACTTCCTTGCTCTTTGCCTCAATTTCCCCATCTGTAAAGTGGCAATAATGATGCTTCCCTCCTTTGCAAAGTGTTTGAGATCTACAGGTCAAAAGGGCTAGGACTGGAGTGCTAGCCTAGAGACTTCCTTCCCAGATGCCGTGACATTGGGCCCATTTAGGATTTACTGATATGACACCACCCAAACCTCCAGGCTGCCCCGCTCTCGTACAAATTACTTGTTTTGTCTTGGGAGGAACAGAAGATTCACTGTGTTCTGGGGTCTGCTTTTCAAATACTTCCTCTGTTTGTCCAACTAGTGGGGGTCAGGAAAGTCCCTTGATGTAAATCAATCCATCAGGCACGCGCCCTTTCAGCGTCTACCCACCACAAAAAACCTCTTGGCTATTGATGGTTTTTCAGAATTAAAAAAAGAAAAACAATAATGCAAGAGATCAGTGGGTTACTATTCACAACATCTCTGGGGTCCAGCCCTGAGCCGAGACAGGGGCAGCACACTGTACAGGGCACGACGGATATCTGCTACCCGCCAATACAGGGCAGTCCAGTTGATGGGAGATGCCTACAAAATGTGGGATAAAGCAGAGGCGTGGGTTTAGCTGCCTACACCGTAGGTTTGACACCCTGGGACCCTGAGCTCCAAATCCCTTTAGAGATGACTCCACCTCGCACCCTTCCAAGCTGAGCCAAGATCCATCTACTTCATTTCATGTGGGGTCATTCAGATGAGACCATAAAAATGAAGGTCCTTGCCTGCTCTCCACAGACATTCCAGTCCCACATTCTCTCATAAAAGTAGGGCTATGCCCGGACGTCCTTGGCCAGCACTTTCCCTCCTCTGGCTAGTGTGCAGCCACCTCGCTGGCTCCCTCTGCCCCAGAAGTAGCTGCCTTTCCACAGCAAATACAGGATTTATAAAGTGACTGATTCTTTGATGAAAGAGACTCTGTGGCAACACCGGGCATTCTAAAAAGGTTTTTCAACAGGAGGAATAGTTCTGTGCATTAGATACTTTGGGGACGGATGCTAGAGAAACACTTGAGATAAATGAAAGACAGCGACAGATAAGGGGTTTAAAATCATTTCGTTACAAACCAAATCAACTTACCTTCCTGTCCAAAAATGAAGCAATCACACCAAAATTCTTTGGATGCTGCATGAACCTAGGAGAGCAAGAGACAGAAGATTAAAGTGAAAGCCGGGAGATCTCTCTGTTTGTTCTCCATGTTTGCCTTTGTGATCCCAAGCTCTGGCCTTGCAGCTGCCGGCAGCACTCCATCTGCTGGCAAAGCGAGCCTGGAATCGGAAAGGCAGAGGGCAGTGGGGCGGTGGGAGGGAGCTTTTCAAGTGACTCATTGGTTTGAGAAAATATTTATTTGTCCTGATGAGGCAGCTTCCCAGAAAGAGGAGAACTTTCAATGTAGCCCATTCAAGTTTTGTTGACTGGGAGTTGAAGGTGGGGGAGAAAGCGTCTCCTCCCCCAACCCCAGCCCCAGTATTTTGGCGTTTATTCCACAGGTTTGCATAGCAGGGCAGGGCAGGAGAGAAGACATAGGACAAGAAGCTTCGGCATCTTGAAGCAGATAGTGCCATGGAGCAGTCTTCAGCAATCAGCTAAATCACATACAACAGGAAGGCCTAACAACTACTCCACTTCATGTCAGCCTCTCTCAAGCCCTGCCGAAGGAAAGAGAGGCAGAAGATTGCAACCAATTCCCTTTAAGTACCAAGCGTAGGAGAGAGCGAGGAGTTTGAAACGGCTCATTTGTTTTCCCTTTGCGAGGAAGTTACAGGGAAATCACTAAGCATGGCACCACCAGGCCCAGCTGCTGGTCAGAAGTCCCCTAGGAGAAGTGAGAGACAGGCATGGAAGCTGCGCTCCTGGGAGAGCGTCAAACTCACTCAGCCCCTTCCAGTAAAAGACCCAAATGCTTGCCTGCCTGTTTCCCTGCAGTTTTGCTCACCCAGCCTGAGAAAGACAAGAGGTGACGATTCTGACCCCACTGAAGTCAATGAGAGCTTTGCCATTAACTTCAGTGGAGCCAGGGGTTCACCAAACAAGTCTATCGGAGCTAGCACCCAAGGGTTCTGGCTCTGGTGTGTCCTGGGTGTCCCCCTCCATCCCTCCCTGTGCTGGGCGCCATCACGCCATCACTGCCTGCCTGCCATTCAACAGGGTGAGTGCTGACCATAGCAGCTCACACAGCAGGCATGGTGCAGGGTGTTCTCATAAGGAGGGTTTGGAACAATCCCCTCCCCACCACACACAACTACTCTGCTTGGGCAGCTCTCCCCTTCAGTGAGGGGCATGCGGCTGTAGGTCTGCAAAGCTAGGGATGCATCGGCTATGCGGTTCAGCCACCCTCCACAGATGCATTTCCCCCATACTCTGATGAACTGATAGAGGCGCCAAGAGAGGTTAGGAGCCATGGCTTTAAATGATCATGAGATTTCCCCATCTACATTCTTATGATGATGGATGATCTACCACAGAATCTAGGGGCTAGTGACGCCACCACCTGCGGCTTGGTTTATGCTGCAATTGAGCCCGGAGCTCTGATGCCAAGAACACCAGCCTGCAGCTGCAAAGACCCAATCTGGCCTGAGAAGGGGAAGGATGAGAAAAGACCGAGCATAGTCTCCCGAGCAGTATCTCGGTAGCTGGCAATGATGCGCTAAGGGAACATGGAATTAATGTCTGGAGTCGAACCTGCAGACATATAAGTGACCAGCAAGAAACAGGCTGATCCTTAAGCAAAGGCTGAGCAAATGTGGCCTGGGAATCTTGGACATCCTTTGAAGTGGTTGCCCAAGGCAGTGGTTTGCCTGTAGGAAAGGATCCTTAGTGCAGGTTTCACTGTGATTTAACAGCTTCATGTCTGAAAAACATCTCCTGGTGCAGAGAGCAGAACGTGCTAGCTGGTGCCACGTTACCTCGGCACTGGGTCCGGGTGGGGACTGGCTGGTGCCACATTACCTCGGCACTGGGTCCGGGTGGGGACTGGCTGGTGCCACATTACCTCGGCACTGGGTCCGGGTGGGGAATGGGGTCTTAGAAAACTATTTCATGGGAAGTTCACCTGAACGCAACTGTGAGCCATTATAAACCACCCCATTTCCTCTCACCTTTCGGCCGGCATGACAGAGGGCTGGCTACTGTAAGAAACACCCCAAACTACGAGGGACAAAGGGTTCCAAATGTTGCCAGCTAACGAACCCTGTCTGAACAGATGCCTCATCACTTGTGTCTGTTAAAGCCTGGCTTTTAATGCGCTCTCTCTCCCCTATGTTTAAAGACAGCACAGTGGGTAATTAAAACAGCGCAACCCCAAATGGGGGAAACAGCCTCCTTTCATGTGTTATTTCAGCTTGTTGCTGGAACTGCAGGACAACACGAGGACCTAGCAGGCTTCTGAGTTACCCAAGAGATTGACAGGGCGATGGAGAGTTGGAGGGGCTTTTCCTCCTTTGCAGAACACACACGGTGTCAGCGGGCTATACCCCAACTGGAGCAGCTAATAGCGCCTCTGAGCGGCTGCACCTCCAGCGGGGAGAGAGCCTACGATGCAAAAAGCAACAGCTCCTCTAACTAACCCCACCTCTTTAACTAGTGGGACAGGACTGAAGAGTGTTTGGCCTGCAAGGGAAAAACAAACTGGTACATTGCCAAAGGAAAGCCAGCTTACCTATGGCTAAGGACTGTCTGTGTTTAAACAAAATACCTTGCCTGGGTCCCCCCGACAAAACTGCTCCCTTAGCCTCAGCGTAGTGGAACGCAGTGGAACGGGAATTCAACTGGGAGTTCAACACAATTGACCCTGGCCCAGAAGTGCCCCTGGCTGGATTTGTGCTGCTCCCAGAGTGAGCGGCTCTCTGACAGCAGACAGAACCCAGCATGGCACAAGTCAAACCGTCCTGAGGGCCTCCTGTGCAGTCACACGTCTGACTCGGCGTTACGGGATCGGTAAAATCTCTGCCTCGGGAAAACTTTCTGTAGACAACAACTGCACAGTATGGGCTGGCTGCTCTCTCCGATGGAAGGCAGAGGTCTAAGAAGCCGAACGTTCTAATGAAACATACGTGAGGCTTGAAGTCCAGCTCCAGACCTTGGTTCAGCTGCCGATTCTCTGTACGGCGTTGGGCAAGTCAGAACCTCCCTGCCTCCGTTTCCCTGAGCGTGTAAGGTCACTGGTTAACTCACAGGGGTGTTGTCAGGTTTGAACGATCAACGTCCGTACAAGGCTTCACAGACACAGAGCCTGATTCTGGTCTAACTGCACCGGCTTTATTATCCCAGCGTAACTGCTGACTTGGGTGGCGCTATTCCTGCTTTATACATGCTGAAGTGAGACTAGAAGCAGGACTCAGACTGCCCTAAGGATGGTCACTGTAATCAATGACTGCAGCAGAGCGGGAGCTAGTCAGAGCTGCAGCCAGCAGATGGCTTTCCCGGGGCAACAAGAGAACATAAATGGGGGCACTGAGCATGTGGGAGGTGGCTAGTGCGGAGGATGGAGCAGTGGGAACGCAGCGCTTGGAAGCTTACAATAAAAATCCCTTTAAACATTACCCATCTGCAGCTGCAGGCTGTTACATCACGTGTCCTAACGTGTGAATCTATACAAATATAATACCACACCCTGGAGAGCTCTTCTGTGGCGTGTGAGTAAAGGAGAAACTGAGATGTTAAAAAAGAATCAGAGACACACTAACAAAGTGGGATCACATCACAGATCTGAGGCTGTTTGTCGTGTACTAAACGTATAAACAAATGGCTGATCAAGGAACTTGGTTTTGCTGCAGTTTTATAAATATGCATGACTCTTCATATTCAGAGCAATGCAAACAACAATACGCCTCTTCAAAGTCAGCACTCGCAAGGCTGCTAACACTCAGACAGACTTCTGGTACCATGGGGGAGTTGTGCTTTCAAAGGGACTCTGATTGTCTTCAGGCAGGGCCATACTTCCATGCTGTGTTCTTTAAGGCAGGAATTGGTTTTTCCATGGTGCATCTGCACAGCACAATAAGGGCAAACTGGGGCTTCTAGTTGTAATCACGATAACAACAATAGAACAACAACGTAACACTCTACTTCTCTACTGGCACTACACAAGGCCAAGTTTGGAGTTGCTCAGAGGTCTGCGTAAAATAAAGCAACCTGAACCTTTGTCCAACTTGAACGGAACTGGAATCTGCCTTAAGTTCTGAGTAAGTCTGGTTAAACTGATCCCAGGACAAGTTGCAAGGGTTACTTATTTTTATCTGAGTGTGTCGGTGATGAACGACTGCAGGACCCAGGGTCCCATTCAGTTTCATGGGTTGGAGAGATTGAAGTCAGGTCAAGCTGAGTTTTGTCAATGTCTGTAAATTGTATTGTACGTGCGGCTTGCACTTTGGATGGCCCACCCTGACAAAAATGAAACCATCGTGCATGGACAATGCAACAGTCATGCATGGAATCTTCTAGCGTCATTAACTAGGCCTGATCCTTGCATTTTCCTTACATTTTACTTTAAATAATTAACCCATGCATCATTCCAGGTGCAATATTGCAGTTTTGATGGCCTGGGAGACACAATATATTTAAAAAGGCTAATAATACAGGGTCTTTGCAATTGCTTGCTTCAGTTGCATGTGGAAGTAACAACTATGAGGAAGGCCATCAAAGGTATTCCTGACACGGAGAAAACCAGGACAGACTGGAAGTCTCCAAAGAACCTCTCCAGATAAGGCTTGAGATGAGATGAGCCCAGTGACCTCGTCTAGTTCAAAGTATGCATTTCCCCTTTCGTAAGCAGGGTGTCTATTCCAATGGCTCCCCATACCAAACCAAACCTTTAGATCGGCTTCTCTTGGGCATATTCTGGCTTGCACCTTGGTCCTTTTTTCTAGGTTCAGTCTCACCCAAGTTATCAGACTGCCTGGCACAGATACCACCATTTAGAGTTTTTCTAAAAAACCTTTGCGATTCACCAGTCATTGCGATCTACAGCCCACCAGCCATTCAAGCTACTGCAAGGAATTCAGCTTCCAAAACACACTGCCGTGCAGGCAGTGGTAACCAGAGTGTCATCACAGAATCTACCATTGCTTTCCACTACCACCATATTGCTGGTGCAACCCAGGGCCCAGTGCTCAAGTCATTATCCAGCCCGTACGCCACGCTTCCCAACACCCGATTCCCATTGGCTATGGTCAGCCACTTCTCAGTCCACTCACTTTTCCCGAAAGGTCTCCTTCTCCTGTTCGCTCCACATGTTCATCACCTGTCGGTCTTTATACACCTTCATGGGGTCGTCCATCAGGCCGTTCATGTTGATGAATTTAATGCGCTGCTGGTCAGCATCGTATAGCATGGGGGGGATGACGGCTAGCTGGCGCATCTGCTTCTCCAGGTTCTTTGGGAAAGAAAGCGAAGGGGACAGTTCTCATCAGCATCACAGAGCCCAGGGGAGAATTAGAGGGGACAGATGTTCATAGGGAAAGGACAGGCTGTGGGACAGGAGACTTTAAAGGCAAGCACTAGACAACTTTATTGCTGGAGTAACCCTAAATTAAATATTGAAAGAAGCTGTCACCCTCAGCAGGGAAATAGTTAATCTTCCCTTTGGAAATAAAAGGCTCTTGAGACACATTGTAAAAATGTTTTACCCAAGGAAACCAACCCCTGTGCGCACAGCTAGAGACAGGCAAAATCAGGGATCGCTGGGGGTTTGTAAGCCCTTGTCAGTCAGGTCTGGGTTTTGCAAAATCACACAAAGAGTGGCTCAAATCTCAACTGCACAGTTTGGATGTAAGCAGGAGTGGGTCCAGTTCTGCAAATATCTTGGTCTGAATGTTATTTTGCAAATGGGGAGGAGGGCTGAAAGGGTCGGGGGGTGGAAAGATGGGTCTGGAGCCAGTCTCATTTCATGGGAATTTTTTGTTTTTATGAAAACTTCCCTAACACCCTCCTCCACTTCCCTTCTGCTCTCAGTGTGGTTTGAAACTCAAACGGGCAGTGTCTCCAAAGCACTGGGGAGGCAATAACTGAATGGACTTCTCCACACAACTCTCAATTCTTAGACTCTGTATTTGCTACTAAGTGGGTCTAATTTCCACTCGGTAAACACACAATCTATAGTCAGGTTCACGTCTGACATTCACCCAAAGGCCACTTCGTCCATTCACAGCACATCCCAACAACCATTTCTTATTGCCACATTAGATGTTTAAACAAACAGCAGATTCTCCGCTTTGCCACCGAAAGTGACAGCCTCTTGCTGTGCCGTGATCCTTTTCCTCCCTCACTGTTAAACACTTTGGGGCAGATTCTGATGCCCTTACTCTAATTTATTAATGGCAGCAAAATTCACGAGTAGTCCCTATTGACTTCAGTGGAGCTCTTCCCGGTGTCAAACCCGAACCCAATGTGAGTAAGGATCTCAGAATCTGGCCCTCGTTGATTAAGGACCGGGGAAACCCAGCTCTGGAGTGGCATGTTCTGATCTTGATTTGTAACCAGCTGTCAATATTTCAGAGAATGCTGAACTTCTAAGACTTCAGAGAATTGTAAACCTAGCCAGAGTCTCTTACTCTGCAAAGAGTCTTGATGCTTCACTATCAAATTCACGCACAAACTCCACATCCTAGCATGGAAGATGATGGGAGTACATGCCGGTCCAAAGAGCAGTAATTACAGCTGTCTGGCATGGCACTCTGACTGACACAAAGTCGCTTCCTCTTAGCTTCCCACATCCTCAGACTCCACAGCAACGCCTCTCACTCTCGCAACATCTTTGATGGCATTCAAAATGCTTATAGCTCTCCAGGATGTTCTCTTAATGAGAGGATAGGGCCAGTTCTCACGGAGTGAGTGGGTTGGCCAGGACAAACAGAGGCTGACCAACAAAATTTAATGAGCAGAGCCGTGACGTGTAACGACATCATTAGCACCAGTTAAGTTCACGATGGACCGGCCCCAAATGAGCAGCATTGAAGCAGATCTCTGATCTGTTTGGTGCTGGTCTCAGGCAACGGCTGAGGATCTATCTACGGCCAAGTCGACACTAAAACGTTAGGTGAACCTGGCGATCTTGCTCAGGGGTGTGAAAACTCCACCCCCGAGTGAGGCAGTGACACTGACCTACCCCCTGGGGCACCCTGCGCTAGGTTGATGGAAGAATTCGTCATTGGCCTGGCTACTGCCCCTTGGGGAGGTGGATTAAGTGCAGCAGAACCCCTCCCGTTGCTGTAGGGTACGTCTACACCGAAGCGCTGCAGCTGGGCCGCTGTCCCGGCTTCAGTATAGACGGAGCCCAAGCTTGGTGGAATGGCATAACGCACATCCCAGCTGTTTGCTCCGTCTCGCTCCTCTGCAGAAATGTTCTCTACAATGGAGCACTAGCGACCACCCTTTGCTATGGGCCCACTCGCTGAGTACTTTAGTTCCTGGAGATCAGTGCCAGGAAGCGCATCGGGCCCCCTCTGTGAAGAACGAATTGAAGCATGGTGCCTATCTGTCCCCGCCTCTGAGAACTAAGCTCATGGGTCAGCCTCTAACTTGGTCAAAGCAAACTCCCTCCCAGCCAAGGGCACAGCAAGTGCATGCAGCAAACAGCTCAGCAACTGCTGCCCAGCAATAGCTGTCTCTTCCCAAGCACGAACCCATTCTTGACAGTTTGCGATCAGAGCCAGCCAAGCGGAACCCTCGTAAAACCAGATTCAGGAGAAGCCAAAGTTGCTGGGACATCCTGAGAGGATCAGAGCACTCAGAGAGTCAATCTGACTGGCTGATGTACAAACCATTCATCCCCTAGGAATCCCCTTCGGGAAACAGCATGTCCCATTAAAATATTATCCAGAAGCCTGTGCTGTTGTGGGGTTCTGTTCCCCCACTCCCTATTTCAGTTTAAAAGAGTAACCTGTTTGTAGGAATAATGACCGGCTGGAGTTGATGGCCTGAGATGCATGAGAGTGCAAAAAATGCCCTGCCACCTTGACTGTTATTTCATTACTTGAATTCCTCTAAAAGATCCCGCTGCTTCCCAGCAACGAGGATGGGAAGGGAGATGAGGTCAGCACTGAGGGGCGCTCCAATGGGCTGCTGCTTGCTCTCACAGATTCTGCCAACACTCCCAAGCCCTGCTCAGGGTCCTGTCAGAAGCGTCAGGGAATCACATTCTGCGCATGACAATGTTTACTAAACACAGCCCGGCCTGGCGTTCATTGAATTCGGCACCAGCTCCACTGTCGGGGTCTGTTGTGACTGCACTGAGTTCCCCAGAGGGAAAGGGGAATGGGGCGGGTGGGGAAAAAAGGAAGGAGAAACGGCGACCTGGTCTCACCTCTTGTTCCGAGAGCCCATCAATAATTTCTGACACCTCGTGTTCGCTGCGTGCGGCCGACATGGAGAGACCACTGCCCCTCTGTCCTACCCTGCTGGGAAATGGCAATGAAACACTGAAAAATGTACGCCCCGTCTTGTACTTGGCACCGCGCCAGCATCATTTCCCGGGACTCCTCGCATCCGAAAGGCGGCGCAGTCAAAACAGGAAACAGCCTGCCTTGGAGGCGAGAGGGAAGGGATTGCACACGTGGCTCAGAGCTGCCTGACTGCAAAGCCGTTCTGCGGCTGTCTGTTTAACTCCAAAACTCACCTACACTAGCAGCATGCTCAGAAACTCCACGTTTCAGAGCTGACCCAGGTTAAAAAAAAAATCCATAGGCTCCAAACGTGTAAACTCTCACTCCTGGGTGTAGTGCTTCCTACCACGAGCAGCTCCACTGATTCCACTGGAGCAGTCTCAGCAGTGAGCACCACACCCAACCGCAAGCATTTGTAGGATCGGGGCCTACAATTAAAGAAAACCAAACCAAACCCAACCCATGTCCTTCCCTGTGTCTACCTGGAGACTCAGGGCTTGTCTACACTGCAAAGTTGTCGACAACACTTTTGTCTTTCACAAGTACTTAAAAAAAGCCCTCCCCATGAAAGACAAAAGTTTTGCTGACGCAAGCGGCAGCGTGAACACGGCTTTGTCGGCAGGAGCACTCTCCTGCCAACAAAGCTAACGCCGCTCGTGGTGCTGGAAGTATTTTGTCGGCAAAAGTGCCGACAAAGTACCGAAAAAGAGCGTTGACTCACGCTGACTTTTAGCGACGAGGCTGTGTCGACACAGCCTTGTCACTAAAAGCTGCGTGGTGTAGACAAGCCCTTAGCGTGCGGCAAGCCAGGGGGTAAATCTGCAGCATGCTAGGGAACGTGTGTCAAAGCGTGCTAGGGAATTTCCAGTGCGCAGGAGCAGTGTCCACCTGGCGACGTAGGGCCAGGCAGGCTACTGGGCTGTGCATTCACACCCTGGCTTGCCACACGCGGCATCTCCAAGTAGATAAGCCTTTCGATTAACTCTAGGAATATTTACAATCCATATGACTTTCCACCACAGTTTGGTATTTCATTCATCCTGAACACTGCAATAAACCAGTCAGTGTTTCACTTCTGCTTCTGCTCAGCTCCAGGTCATCTTGCCCACTGCAGTTGTGATTTGGCTGCAAATGCTGCAGGGAAGTGTTTAGACCCAGACAAAGAAAGCTTCCATTAACAATGTTTTTTGAAAAACCTGCCTGTTAATAGTAGATTTTTTTTTAAAACGCTTTTTTTTTTAAAGCAGCTATGATCTAAACATGGGGTCTAAACTCACGGACAGAGCCTAGGCTCTTATTTAACTACACACATTTTTAGAAAAGCTAAAGACGAAGAAGCTGTAGGGTGGGACTTTTACAAGTGCCCAACTCTGCTCGCACTGAGGTCAATGGTAAAAGTCCCACGGACTATGGCACCACACTAAACAGTCTGGGTCCTGACTTGCTAAGGCTTCTTGAGCCAACAACCGCCTGCTCAGCCGCTCCTCCTTTCGCTCTGGAACAGCCTCACCTTCAGAGTGCTTCTGAAGAGGAGGTGAGTTGAGGAGAGGTAAATGAGCTGTGGGGATGGGAGTGGTGGTGGACAATGCTGATCATATGAATGGAGCGAGAGAGCAACACCTTTAAATCCTTTGCAATCGTTTCTACACGTTCTGCAGACGCTTGGCCTCTGTGCACATACCTAGATCAAAGCCTAGATAGGTTTTTAACAATCTACATGAATAAATAATTAGACTGGGTCCGTCCACCTTGATTTGAGCCTCCTAGTATGGAACTAGGTATACCCTCTCCCAGTCAGATGTTCAGAGTGAGGAACTAACCCCATGCGTTATGATGTGGCCAGCCAGGAAATTAACAACACAGGAAAAATGGAGATCTGGATTCTTAAAATTCCTCCTCCTCTGTAGATAGTCTGAGCTAGGCTGATCCCCCTTGGGGAGAAAGCAGCCAAGTTATTTGTTCATGGGGCTCTGTGGTTTGTGCATCTAACAGTTATTCCATTGCAGGAGAAGGAGGGGGCTTGTTTACCCGGGAGCCACCCCCAGCCATCTAAAACCATCTTTGAACCCGAGCCCCCTACAGGCAAAGGAGAAAGGCTGCCTAGCCTCTTCCTACCGCTTCTCCTCTAACCTCTGCATGCGCTCCTGCAGTTCCCGCTGCTTCCGGATCTCTGGGAACTGCTTCTCATAGTACTCCCGCACTTTGCTCTCCTTGGCACGGCGCCGGGGGTTATTTTCAATGCGCTCCACTTTCTTTTCCCAGGCTTCCATCAGCTGGTCATACCGCTGGCAAAACTTCTGTTCCTGAAAGGGCAAGTGAGAGGGGGAGATCAGAAAACGACCCCAGACAGAGCAGCTCCCTCAAGCCCTTCCCTCGACGGCTCGTCGGGCTGAACAGCAGCCAAGCGGCTGAGAACAGTAGCGGGGTTTGTTAGGATAAGTTGCACAGGGCCGGGGACCAGAAAGAACGAGGAAGCTCAAATCAAGTGTTCTTAACAGAGGGGATTTTGTTCTTCGAGTTGGAAAACGTCCATGATGTCCTTGTCCTAAAGGTCCCTCTCCGAGTGGGACTTTGCTTTTCGAAAGCACTGAGTATCTCCAAACATTTCACACACATCCATTCATTAATCAAAACCCCCGCCACCCCCTCCCCAACAAGGCAGATACGGTTCTGCTAGGAGATATGGGAGAAGATACATGTAAGGAAACTGAGGCACCCAGAGAAGACAATGAGCTCGCCAAAGGACACAAAGCGGGAGTAGAATCCCCACGTCGCTGATCTAATCACTGGATGACATTTCCTCCTGTAGACTGTTACTCTCAAGAAGGATTTCCCCCTGCTTCAGTCACTGTCTTTATCAGCAGAGTTTAAGAACATCTGATTACAAGGACAACGCAGGCACTTTGGGTAAGTCTACACTGCAATCAGAGGTGTCCTTGCAGCTCAGGCAGGCAGGCAGGCATACCACGCTAGCTTTCATCTAGCCAGCATGGCTATACATATCACAAGCTGTCCAAGTGCACCTGGAACCCTGCGTCCATACTTGCATGGCCAGCCTGCACCAGGGTCCATGCCACCATGTCTCCGCTGCTATTTTTAGCTCTCCAGGTGCAGGTATAGCTAGCGCAGTTACGCCTGTCCGAGCTACAACCACCCCTCCGATTGCAGTGTAAACATGTCCTAACTACTGATGCTGGAACTAGCCCTTCCGACCAGAATGATGAAGCAAGGGCCCCGTTTTCCAGACACCGGGCTCCATTCTCCTCTTTGTTTCACTACTTTTACCCCAGTGTCATTCTATTTGCTTCAGCCGAGTTCCTTCCGATTCACACCTGCATAGGAGAGAGGAGAATGAGGCCAGCAGCCATGATTTTCTGCGTGCACAAGGCTGCATGCGTACGGAGGGGAAGGTCAGCCAATGGCTAGGGAGCTAACTCACCATGCGGGAGACCCAGGTTCAATTCCTTGCTGCGCCACAGTCTCCCTGGGTGACCTTGAGCAAGTCACTTCATCTTCTTGTCCCTAAAATTCCTCCTCTGTACAATGGGGACAAATACCCTGCCCCACCTCGCAGAGGTGCTGTGAGGATAGGCGCTCAGATACTAAGGAGACGGGGCCAGATAAGCACCTAAGGCAGGTGGGCAGATTTACATGCAAAATGATTCTGTGAGTAGAACCATGTACACAAAAAAACAGAAGCTCCTTTGAAAATGTAGTCTAAGATCAATGCCTGCTGTCAGGTGTGTGCTAGCGCCTCCCACTGAAGGCTTTGGAAGCTGCAAATCCATAACATGGTTGGAGTCCGTTCTAGAACAGCAAGGTGAGAGGGAAGGAAAAAATTCACCAAGAAATCCCAACCGCATTATCACCACCATCGCTATCCGCATTCAAGTAGCGCTAGAGGCCCCAAATGAGATTCGATCCCTATTGTGCGGACACTGTGAAAACACTCCCCGAAGGCTATTGAAATCCCTTTGCGCCAGCCCCACGAGAGGCGGTCCCAGCCCCGAAGAGCCTGCAACCTAAACAGACAAGACACGCAAAGGGCACGAGGAAAACAGAGACACGAGATTTCAACTGCACTACGGTCAAGGCTTAAAGCATTTTGTTTCAGAAAAGAATCGCCCCAACCCACAAGTACCTCTGCGTAATTCCCAGCTGAAGGAGAACAGCACTCGAGTGAACACAGCAAAATTAATGGAACTTCAGTGCCAAAGCTGCTGCAAACAGTCTCCGGGGAGAAGGAGCAGAATATGGCTGGTTTCTCCCGTGGGAGGTTAGAGCATCTCAAAAAATACCCAATACTACCAAACCTGATCAATACTAAGAGTCCTGCTATTTCCACAAACATTTCATGGTGATTTTTCTTGAGCCTTCTACGCCCTGGTGCACTCAATCAGGAAAGATGAGAAGGGGAGAAAAAAAAAATATACCAGAGAGGAAAAAAACAATCCATAAGAGCTGTTCCTGAGGGAACAGAGACAACCTTTTGCATCCCGATATGAAAGAGCAAACTAGAAGTGTCAGCACTAGGTGCTGGCAGGCTTCCCTGCACACACACACACACACACACACACACACACACACACACACTACTTTTCAGAATTGGGGGACATTTCTTTAGAAGCCCTGCCTGAAACAAGGAGGCAAATTGGATTCTCATGATGGCTGGTGGTTTTTCTTTAATAATTAGCACACTCAACTCCTGTACAATGCTTTCAGTCTTCAAAATCCTTCACCAATGTCAGCTGAGGTTTTGGTGAATTCAAGTGCTGCCTATGGACCACAGCCCTCTCTCTCTACAGAGCACGGAGCCTGGGATTCTCTGGTACGATCTGGTCACATGGAGCCACTCACACGGTGCAAACTCTGGCCACAAATGACCCGTGGAGAATTCCCCTGGCTGACAAACACCTTACTGGCATAAAGCCAAACATGACTCCTTCCCCAGCACCACACATTGTAGGGATGCGGTGGGAAAGGGAGCTCAACCAATTCTTCAGTAGAGGTTGTGCTAAGTTAGAGGCAACAGGGAGGTGGAATTCGGGCACAGGGGAAAATTGAGTCCAGGAGTGTGCAGCGTTCGGCGTGTCAGTGCAGACATCCCAACCCAGTCTCACGCCATACCCCAAACCTGACATGGGGGACCACCTCTAGATGGGGTCCCCACTCAGCCTCTCTGAGCCACAGAATCCAGGGCCTCTCCATGAAAGCTATCAACATGGGGAGCACCAATTTAGATGGGTTTTACTGCAATGTGGACAGCAGCCCACTGGGAAGAGCGCTAAGACAACCAAGGTGTTACACATTAAGTCCTCTTAGTATTTGTTGAGATATTGCTGGACTGCATCCTGACTGGAAATAACCTGCCTGCCCCAGAGCTCCACCAATTCTTCCATGCACATTCCCCATGAACCCACGTAGGATGTCCTAAGCATACAACTAAATCCAACCAATAGTAGGGATACAAAGTGATTCTACAAGCAGGGAGTCCGTGCATTCTGCTTCC